GGTGGGAGAGGTCCCTGGGGACTCCGGGAGGTCCCCAAGGTGGCCCTGGGCCACCCAGGAGGTCCCCAGGCGACCAGGAGGTCCTTGGGCCACCCAGGAGGTCCCCAAGGTGTCCCCAGGTTCCCCAGGAAGTCCCCACGGGTTCCTGGGCCACCCAGGAGGTCCCCAGGCCACCAGGAGGTCTTCGAGACCCCCCCAGGAGATCCCCAAGGTGTCCCCAGGAGGTCCCAGGTCCACCCAGGAGGTGCCCAAGAGGCTCCTGGCCCACCCAGGACATCCCCAGAGCCACCCAGGATGTCCCCAGGATGTCCCCAGGCCACCCGTGGAGGCCCCGGGTCCACCCAGCAGGTCCTGTAGACCCCACAGAATGTCCCCAAGAGGTCAATGGACCACCCAGAACATCCCCAGGTGCTCCCAGATCCACCCAGGAACGTCCCCAGGAGGTCCCTGGACCACGGAGAACATCCGCAGAGGGCCCAGGTCCACGCAGGACATCCCCAGGAGGCCTCAGGTCCATCCAGGAGGTCCTGTAGACCCCACAGAACATCCCCAGGAGGTCCCCAGACCCCTCAAAACGTCCCCAGGAGGTTGCTGGACCATGCAGAACATCTCCAGGTCCCTGGACCCCACAGAACATCCCCAGAAGGCCCCAGGTCCATCCAGGAGGTCCTCCAGACCCCACAAAACGTCCCCAGACCCCACAGAACATCTCCAGGAGGTCGCTGGCCACCACAGAACGTCCCCAGGGGCCCCAGGTCCATCCAGGATGTCCTGTAGACCATGCAGAACACCTCCAGGAGGTCCCCAAACCCTGCAGAACATCTCCAGGAGGCCCCAGTTCCATTGAGAAGGTCCTGCAGACCCCAAAAAACGTCTCCAGAAGATCGCTGGAACCCATAGAACATCTCCAGGAGGTGGCCAGATCCTGGAGAACATCTCCAGGAAGCCCTAGGTCCATCGATGAGGTCCTGTAGACCCCACAAAACGTCTCCAGGAGGTCCCCAGACCCCACAAAACATCTTCAGGAGGCCCCAGGTCCATCCAAGATCTCCTGCAGACCGCCACAAAACATCTCCAGGAGGTCCCCAGACCCCAAAGAACATCTCCAGGAGGTCTCAGGTCCATCCAAGATCTCCTGTAGACCCCACAAAACATCTCCAGACCCCAAAGAACATCTCCAGGAGGTCTCAGGTCCATCCAAGATCTCGTGTAGACCCCACAAAATGTCTCCAGGAGGTTACCGGCCACAGCAGAACGTCCCCAGGAGCTCCCCAGGCCCCTCCGCACGTCCCCAGGAGGTCCTTGGCCGCTCCCCGGCTCAGAGCTTGAGCTCGTTGGCCACCTTGGAGGCGATGTTCTTGAAGGCCATGGAGGTGCCGGCGATGCGCTTGAAGCGGACGCCGTTGAGGGAGAGGCGCGGGAGCTTGCAGACCTCCATCTCCCACTGGACGAAGGAGTCGTGGCCGGGCGCGCCGTGGGCGCAGAGGAGCACGAAGCGCTCCTGGGGTTCGCAGCGGCAGCTGTTGGCGTCCAGCACCTTGCGGATCTCCCGCAGCATCTCGCCGGGTTCCAAGGAGCTCGTGGTCTTCATGCTCCAGGTGAAGCGCAAGGAGCGCGGTTTCACCTCGC